GATGCCACCGGTATTTATGAAAAACTGTTCAAAACCAAACGTGCGGTTGCGGCGTGGCTTCAAGTCACTCCTAAGAAAAAGGCTTTGGTGATTTCCATTTATTATGCCACCACCAGCGCCTCACAGGATGCTAAAATCCATTCTGCAAACAATTCGATGTTTGAGGAGGTGTTCCTGTTTGTAGCTCAGTTCGGGTCCATCCCGGTGGTGATCGCGGGTGACTTCCAAGCCCCACCAGCAAGTTACCCAGCTTTCGCATCGGCTCTGTCCTTTCAGTCTTGGCATGATCCAATTTCTACTGTCGATGATTTTGGGGAGGTCACCAGGCCTATCACCTTCAGTAATGATTGCTCTTTTGCAGGTCCGGGGGAAGGGTGCACTTCCATCGATTCGGTTCTGGTCAATGACATTGCTTTCGCCGCTCTTCAGAGCGCTGAAGTTGTGCAGACCTTCAGTAAACAACACAGACCCATCAAGCTGGTTTTTCAGTGGGATTCCATTGACCTTGTCGGTTACCATCTTCTCAAGACTGCCTCTTTCGTGCTTGACCAATGTAATGGTGCTGACAACTCCACCCCCACGATTGAGTGGCATGGGTCTTTCCAGTCCGATTTCGATGCTGCCCCCAATTCGGATGAAAAGTGGGGTGTTGTCAACCAGTTTCTCCAACAAACCCTCGTCGCTAAGGGTGCCTCGTGGGGTGAAGGGCCGAGAACCAGGGGAGCCAAGCCTGTTTCTGTTTCCAAGACCGCTCCAAAACAAATGTTTTCTAACAGTGCTGCAAACTCCTATGGGCTCCAGCTTGCCCGTTTGATTGGCAGACTTTCGGAACTCTCCACCAGAATCTCGAGACCTGTTGGTTCGGCTCAAGACAGTATCATCACCGCTTCAACTGCTTTCAAGACGCGAAATCAACTTCGCCGTTTGGCCTGTCCTGTTTTGTTGGACCCACCAGGGTACTCCTAATCTGTTGGAGATTTTTTGTGCTAGACGTTGGGCTGAGCAGACACTCAAGACCCATGAACTCGCCCTGAAGCTGAAGAGAACCCAGAACTGGAAGAACGGAGTCAAACTCTCTGCTTCGCATGGCTGTGCTTATATTTTCCACCACCTCCGTAACAAACAGCAAGATGAGCCTGCGAATCTAGTTGTTGACGCCGAAAATAATGTTATCTATCAACCCGATCATGCACTTGCTTTCCTCAACAATGAATGGGATCAGGTTTTTAGCGCCAACGTTTTGAGAAATCATCCCCTCAAAATGCTAGACACCGTTTGGCCTTACATTCAGGACCAGAGGCTAGAGATCGAACTTCCCAGCATTTCGGGGCAGGACCTGCATGCAATAATCCAGAAGCGCAAACCCGATGCAGCGCCTGGGCTAGATGGATGGCGCACGACCGAGCTCCAGCGGTTCTCCGCTTCGGAGCTGCAGCCCTGTGCTGATTTCTTTGCCTTGATCGAGTCTTCCGACCAGCCTTTACCGAAGTCCCTTGTCTGCGCTAAGCAAGTCATATTAAACAAACCTGGGCCCTCGACGCCCTTGAACAAAAGACTTATCACAATTCTGCCAGCCTTGCTGCTGGCTTACACCGGTGCCAGATTCGCTAAAACTGCAAGATTGGCAAAGGGCCATCATGCCCCCCTGCATCCTTGGAGGAATTAAGGGTAGAAACATGTCCGAGCTTTTCAACCAAATTCGACTCGATATTGATGAAGCCAAAATTCATCAAGAATCTCTTGTTGGTGTCAAACTCGATAAAGCCAAAGCTTTCGACCGTGTAGTCCCACACTTTGTTGCGGCCCTGTTCTTAGCTTTCGGACTCCCAACCGGTTTTGTTTCTTTCTTTGTGAAAATTTATGACGGATTGCACAGGCATCTCTCCTACCGTAGATGGACTTCCCACCTGTCCACAACGGCATCCAATGCTGTATGCCAGGGCTGTTCGTTGTCATTGCTCGCAATGAATGCCTATACGAAAGTTTGGTGTCACCTCTTGGATCACCTCCCAGAGATTTTTGCCACAGCTTATATGGTGCAAGCTTTGCCATGTTGACATCCTTCAAAAGGCCATTGATGCCACTAAGGTATGGGACCTCCTTAGCGGGCAGAAGCTTAATGAGGGAAAATCCTCCATGTGGGGTACTGATTCCAAGGCCCGTAAGATGATCAAAGCCCTGTTTCCTAGCTTCCCCGTTGTTTTGGAACTCGATGTACTCGGCACTAAGATTTACACTTCCGAGCGGTCACACTTTGGTTTTTCGGATGCTAAGCTCAAAAAGGTTCTCGGTGATGTCGACAACATTGCCGCTTTACCGGTCAGCAGATCTGTGAGGAGTTTCTTGATTGGGTCCAAAGTTATCCCTCAGATCACGTTTGGTGCCCACTGTTCAAAAATTCCCCAACAAGCTTTCAAAAGCATTCAATATGCGATCGCTAAAGCCTTGTGGGTGGGACAACCGATGTGGCGTTCCAAACAATTGTTGCAGTGTATCCTTTCGAAGCCTCACCGAACTGATCCACATTTTGCTGATGCATTTAACACTATCGTCGAAGTTGCCAGATTGTGTAACCACTCTTGTGGGGCCTCACAACAACTGCTTGAAACTTGGAAAAACCCCATCGGCAATCACTGCCTCGCTGGAACACTTCAGAAAGCCTTTGATACTCTCGGGATCCAAGCCGATGTCGATCTTCGTATTTCCTTTTGTGGTAGCCCCCCCGTTCCATTTACAGGGCTCTCTCCCAAGTGTTTGTCTAAGGTTCTTCAGAACATCTCTCGAGATGCCTGTTACAATACCATTGACCCAAAGTCTCGCAAAGATTTTGTCAAGCCAACCGGCATTACCCAAGCCGCGTGCGCGGTGCTTGACGAGACAAGGGCCTTCAGACACTGTGGAACGGTTTTTCACTGGAGCATTTCCGCGTATGTCGCCGAACTATGGGGGGTCATCGTCGCCTGTGCCACAGCAAGATTTCCGGCCACAATTTTTTGTGACTGCCTCAGCGTCGTTGAACAAGCCGATAAAATTTTTGCAGGCGGCTCACCTGATTCACAATGGGCTTGTTTTCCATGGTGGACCTTTCTCCACCGTTTGACACAGATGCGTGAGACTATTTGTTCTCCACCGTTCAGGATCAAATGGATTCCAGCCCATTGCTATGAAGGGATCCCAATAGACCTGCTGAATGAAGAGCTTGCCGCTTTACGTGGGACGACTCTCGAGCACATCCTCCATAACAGACTTGTTGATGCCGCTGCAAAAGAGTGTGCTACTCAGAACGCTTGCGTTTATGCTGATGTACAGAAGGAAGCAACAAGGGCGATTAAATCACATCAATTGTGGCTATCCGACCTTCATGAAATGTTACCTACACTGCAGCCAGACAGGGCAGCTGTTCAGGAAGTTGCCGCCCCACACGCTGAAATTTCACAAGCCGATTGTGAGAAAAGGTTTCCAGATTGGCCTTGGAGGTCGTTGAAACAGCTTTTTCGGTGGCGCCCAAAGTTGCCACGCCATATTTCGTGCCCACGTACGTGGACTGGTAACGAGTCAGACTGGATCACCTGCTGCAACTTCTTGCGTGGTCTACGGTGGCAGAAAGACACAGATTTGTCGGTCTCTTTCCATGAGCTCGCAATTGCTTTTCATCTTGAAGGCTTCAAGCTTTCTCGTGACCCCGAGCTCACGACATACCATGATCTGTATAAGCTGCTGCGTGAGACCATTCTTTTGCTCTCCCATGATGACTCGGTTGACTGCCATCCTGGACATTTCCACAGCACAAAGCCCCATTGCTGCGGGCGCGTACTTCCTCAGGGGTGCATCGTCGGTGCTGCACCCTGGTTTGATGATCCTGAAAGGGTCCTTCTTGCGAAGCTTTTCTCCCTCGGTGCCGGGCGGACCCTGGCATCGTGAAAGGTTCCCCTCGATCTGAAGTGATCACGTGCATTTTTGTTTGGGGATTTCATGCGTGTGCATAGACCTGCGTGTCCTGCGCAAAGCGGACACCGGTCTCACGGTGATCGTCCGCTGCGAGTGATAGTTACCAGTAGTAAGGCCAGGAGCCCCTAGTAGCGTCCTTGCTCCTAGTAGCGATGCCCGTTGCTCCTAGTAACGTCCTTTGGTGCATGCGAATTGGCTTGGCGGCGCTTCGCGTCGCAGTTTCACGGGCACCTGGCGTGGAAGGACGCTTGGGCAGGTCGCAGGAGGCACTATCAGCACTGGGCGCAGTGAAATGTCGAAAAGCGAAAAGTTGGGCTTAAAGAACGAAAGTTTCTAGTCAGTGAGAAAGTCTCGAGAAATAGAGATTGAGGCCGCGGCCTCTCACTGAAATGATCCAGTACCCTCAAACAACAGAGTTTCAATGAGGACTTTTTATCACATCGAGCCACCATATGGCAATGTGTATTTTGATGCATTTTGTATGTATGTTAGTTTAATGTGTGCTTAAGCTTATGCTTCTTGTTTCTTCATGAATAATTGTATTTGTTTGCTTGCATATTGCGCATCAAAAGCCAGGAGCGCTTTCAACCCGATTAGGGTTGCCAGAGCCTAAAGCTGGAGGAATTGGCCTTAAGTTTGTTATTTCTTTGATTGATATTATTATTGACTTAAGGATTTCGATGACAATTCCGGAAAACTGAGCAACAGCCAAAGCTAGTAGGTTGGAGGGCATCGCTGGTAGGTTGGAGGCCATCGCTAGTAGGTTGGAGGCCATTGCTAGTAGGTTAGAGGCCATCGCTTAGTAGGTTGGAGGCCATGGTTGTCGGGTTGGAGGCCATCGCTAGTGAGTTGGAGGCCATCGCTAGTAGGTTGGAGGCCATCGCTCGTGGGGTGTAGGCCATCGCTATTATGTTTGAGGCCGTTGCCGGTAGGTTGGAGGCCATCGCCATTATGTTGGAGTCGCTTCTAGGTTGGAGGCCATTAAAATTGCTGCATTCTAAGTTTGCCACTCTTATTTGCAAAATTACTCCTCGATGGGCGCCACAACTCAGGCACCCTGTTCTCAGCGTGTTTAGCGGTCTTGGGAGTTGCTTTCCTGGAACTCAATGGTTCGCTGGAGTCAAAAATCGGAGACGTCATTTGCATCGCTGCGCCAATCTGCGTAGGAGACCTGAGTTTGACATGTCAATGTTTTTCGTGATTGCACACTTGAAGTACATTCACACGATCTTGGAACATGAAGAAGTGGATGTTTCCAAGGAGTTGGCTGGCATTTGCTGGGTTCGAATATGAAGAAATACCCCGACGATTTCGTGCCTTCCGTGGTGATCCAGTTCTTTGTGTTCACGGCCATGTTTGGGCTTTGGCTCTTTGTTGACCTCCATTACCGTGAAGGTCTTAATGGAGTTCTGACTTGGATTCGAGATCTACCAACTCTTTTGCAGACGCCGAATTTCCTATGGCCACTTCTGTTCTCGTCAATTGTCGGCAATCTCGTGACCATGCCACTTATCCAAATTGATGTTGTTCTGCAAGTTGAGCGGTTGGACATGGCCCATATCTCACAACAAAGCGAAGAAATCTCTTCAATTTGGTGAGGTGGTTCCTAGAATAGGGTTGCTACCCTCATCGCTGGGCAAATACCTTCCAAGGATGTCTGCTAACCTTGCTTGTCGTTTCCTTGATGTCGTGGATGCAACTCAGCTTTTGGATTCCGAGGGGTGTCAGACAGAAAGAGGGAGCGAGAGAGAGAGAGAGAGAGAGACAGAGAGACAGCAATTCAGAATGGTAGCACTAGCATGTCCTTATCCCAACTTAAATGCTGAGTTTACCTCGACGTAGCGCCAGTTTTGACTCTGAAGTTTTATCCTCGAACCCAAGTTCTTGTTCTAAAGACTCCGAAATCCTCTCCAACTGTTGGCTGTAGCAGGTCTCATTGATCGTGACGACGGAGCCTTTATGGGCTGCAGTGGCTGCTGCATGCATCCTCGGTGAAACGTTCCAGCTCAGCGACTACATCGGTCCCTTGACAAATTTGCACATTGGATGACCTGAGTTTGCAGAAAATGAGAAGGGGATAATGGGGAAAACAACAAATGAAGAAAGCAAAGGAAGAGTTGTGCTGGAAAGGGAAAGCACGGAAAGCAGACGCACAAAACTTGTGCTGTGTCAATGTTCATCGAAAGGCGAAGCAAGGCAAAGCCAGGCAGAAGCGCAAGCGAGCGAACGAACGTGTGAGAGCGTGTATGTTTGTGTGCATGCGGGTCACATGTCTAGAACGTGCACGGCCACGTTGCCTTCTTGATTGACGCGCATTTCATATCATTTCGTTTCATACAATTGCATACCGGGCAGGTTCCATGACAGTGCACCTACGTTGTGCCAGGTAAACTGTTGTTTCGAAACATTGCCTTTAGGTGCCCCAGAAGTGCATGAGGCTTCGCGGTTTGGATTTGTTCGGTTTTGAACAATGGGTTTCTTTCTTACGCAATTCCAAGCGTATAGTTATGGGTTGGGTAGTGGTGTTGATGTTCGTAGTCACTAGGAAGATGTGACACCCGCGTAGAGGGAACCTGACTTTTGGAATATGACGTTTTTGACAACCTAGGGTTTCAGCAGTGGGAACTTCAATTGAACAAAGACCTAGACCTAGGAGCAATGTGTCAACATGACCTTGTATCTTTTGTTCGAGAACTACTTTCATGTCATCCAAATCTCATTCCACTTGGTCGATATTTACTGTAAGGAGAAAGGCGTGGGTTGCCTTGAACTGGATTTTCAACATACGAGTCCGTTTTGCTTCCCAGTGTCCCTGTCAGATTTCAGCGCTGAGGTTGCATTTGCGTCATGGCCGCGTTGTTGTGCAATGAGCCGCTTGGAATTGCTTTGAGTGTGAAAAGTGCCAAGAAAAGTGTTGAGGCACTAGAGGCCATGAGGTCGCTAGAGGCCATGCCTTTGAAGCTATGTGCGGTGTGCGGTCAAGGCTCTGGAAAGAGCTGCCCCAGGACGACTGGTGCTTTGCGTATCGAAAGTGTTTGGGGCCAAGACCCGACACGAAAGTGTTCGGATTGAAATCGAGGCACAGGCGGCCCCTACTAGCGTTCCTAGTAGCGAACATGGCTCCTAGTACGGCCAGACCCGTTCGTAGCTTCTTGTTACTAGTAGCGAGCTATATAACTGCATGTAAATGTGAAGATCAGGACGCATGAACTGAAACAAGAGGTCACGCATTCAACCCCCATCATGTCACACATTTGCCACAATTTTGGACCGGGCATGCGCAAGAGTGCTCGATCGAGCTTTGGCACCTGACACTGGTAGCGGAGCAAGGTCTCCCTGCTGTCCAAGCCATTGCGTTTTAAGTGTTGCTGGGGACAAGCGAGAAATGAGAAAGAGCAAGTTTAGATATTTTCTGTGAACATTAGTTATTGCAAAGGCACAGCTTTCAGTGAGTCTGTGCCATCACGCCGGACTTCCCTCAAGTTATTGCATTGACAAGGGCAAACTCCTATCACAGCAGAAAGAGGCTCTCTTTGCATGCTTGCATGGTTTCTTTTGCAAGGCTTTTGTTTGAGTTTCATATTGAAATGACTTCACAATATGCAGGACCACAATGTCACAATACACTGCATCAGCACGAAGGGTTGACCGAAGATCACCACTGCACTCTACGTGATCCTCGCCTAGCTGAAGAGTATGAACCAAGAGACCAAGAAGTAGACCAAGAGTATTTTCTGGACTTTTAAACATTTGCATAAAGAGGTCTCCGTCTAGGTATGTCTAGGTTGGTTATGTAGTCCAGGTGAGGAAGCGGAAGAGTTTGGAAGCTACACAACTCATCTCACGCTCCTGGCAGTAAAGATTCGTAAACGTCGTCGTTCACTCATCTAGTAGCTTCTTGTTGCCTATAGTGCCTTACTGTTACTTAGTAGCGATGGCCTCCAACCTAATAGCCATGGCTTGGCCTCCAACCTAGTAGGTTCTTGTTCCTAGTAGCGTCCGAGGGTTTCATTTTTGGGCCCAAACACCGTGTAGCGCCAGCGTGCCAAAAAGACACCAGCACTATCGAGGTGGGCATATTGGTGTTCTTCGTGGGTTTAATGTTCTTTGGAGACTAGAAGGTTTGCAGCAACACATACATCGTGGTCTCATTGAATTCCTCACCCATGTGACTGTGGAATGCAACAGAAGCCTTACAGGAATGCACCAGAGATGCAGCGAAGAAAACACCAGCGGTATTATGTGTTGGAATACTGCGCAAAAAGAAGACTGGTCACCCAAACATAAAGGCAAGTCACAACTAGTCACGCGATATCTATAATTCACAGTTCCCTCAAACAATAGGGGCCTCACCACTTGCGACTCGTAACCAGCGTGCCCAGAATCACCTGCGCTACCCCCTCGACCAACACACAACCTGGAGCTTTGGGGCTCTAAGTCTAATGCCAGGTGACCACAAGGGGAAAGTTTACAAACAAAAACAGCGGTAGGGAGATTTACCGGTGGTGTTTTAGCTCCAGACACGCCCTAGCCGCAACAAATCCACTGGCGTCCGTTTCCCTTTTCTCAGGCGGGGCGGTAGCTCTTTGAACGACCAAAAACATGTGTTTCCTCAGTCAGGTTGGCCAGTTTGTTGACACATGGCAGGTTGAACCTTTGGGCGTGCTCAGTGCTAGGGCCGGCCACATTGCAGCGGCAGCAATTTACTCGAAGGTTTTGAAAGCCATGTTGGGCAATCAAATTGCACGTCACAAAATCACACCACTACAAATCGCCACACCACAATTCACGCCGCGCATCAGCACACGATTCTCATCATAAAACACCATCGGACATCACAACAGATTGTGGTTGCGCGTTGCGTTCGTTGGGGCTGTTTGGGCCTTTGCCCTCAACCATGACAAGTCTCCACCCTCTTTCAGCCCCTCCCAACCCTGTGCAAAAGCCAGAGTTGCACAGGCCAAAATTGCATGAGCTTTGCTGCTGCCAGTCTGCTGCTGGCTGCTGCAGGTTTGCTGCTGCTGCTTTGTTGCTGCTGCTGCTGCCAATAAAGTTGTTCAGAAAGGGTTCAATACGAGATGTTTCAGAAACCGAGTATGAACCTTTTGAAGTGGCTTCTATGGAGGAAGGCCAAGGCTGCAAACTCAGGTGAAAGCGGGGAAAGCGGCCGAAACCATCAAAGCGCACCCATTGCAGGCACGACAAGAACTGACACTAGACTTGAAACGTCAAGCGCTCTAAAGGGAGTCGAAATAAAACAGGCGAATTAAACGGTTTCTGTCATTTTGTGTCTTTTTTTTGCAGAAGGGCTCCGTTTGTCGCATTCTTTGCCATTTTGCCTCGGGGTTTGCATTGAAGAGTTGCTCGTGGAAGGTGGCTGAACCCGCTCAAGACGTGAAGCCTTGCGGCCTGAAGACCGTAGTAGCGTCGTTGCTCCCAGTAGCGTCCTTTGCTCCTAGTAGCTTCTTGTTACTAATAGCTTCTTGTTACTACTAGTAAGGCACTTGTTACTAGTAGCATCCTTTGCTCCTAGTAGTGAGGCCAGGAGCCCCTAGTAGCGTCCTTGTTCCTAGTAGCGATGCCCTTTGCTCCTAGTAGCGTCCTTGCTCCGCCAAATTCACGATGTCCACAAGCAATTCCTTGCTTCAAAGCAATTCAAAGAAGCGCTCTAGTTTGAAGCTTGTTCAATCGCGGCTTGATTGGTTTCCTTATGGTTTGGGTTAGCCTGGAAAGGGCAAAGGGCAGGTTCTTCTTGTCAGTGCAAGTTTGCAGTGGTGACCTGGTAGGCGTGCTCAAGCGTTTTTGTTTGTCCATATTGAAAGGCAAGGGTAACAATGTGAAAGAATGTGTTTACCCTTTGACCCTTTGTTATCCTCCTGCATGTGACTAGCTACATGTTTGGTCAAAGTTTTTTGCATGTGTTTGCAATTTCTTTGAAATAGATACTCCATTGAGGAATAGTTTGTGTTTTTGTGAGAGCCCTTTCCCAGCTGATTCCTCGATTCCTGGACCCTACCTTGTTGGCATAGGGTGCCACCGTACACGTCAGTGTGAGAAACGGGCATTACGCTTTAAATTGCTCTAAATACATGGATTCCCAAATAGAAAGACTAGATTTTACCTGCTACATACATTGAAGATGTCTTCAAAACATGCTGCACCAAAAACAACAACATATCGTCAGTCACCATGAGCGAAGTAGACACGGCCGTCACAGGTTAGAGTGAAGGCTTCAGAGTGTTTGCAGAGTGGAAATAGCAAACAAAACTAAATCAGGCAAAAAGGACATGATACATATGACGTTCCAAAAGTCACAGGCCAAGAGCTGCCAGTCTTATGATTCGGCAATGTAATATCTTCAATTTTGTTCAACTCCGTGTTCCGCTACTTACTTCCGTACGTCACAGCCCATGTTTCAAGATGTGCAAAATGTCACCTATGAATCGCCCTGGCATGGCTCAAGCCGAGCACCCGAATGAGCAAAGAGAACACGTCGAACACACGACGCGGTTAGGCGGTTCATTGCAGTTTGGGGTCCAAACATATTTTGCAGGGTGGAGCGGTGGAATGCAAGCTGATTACGAACAGAACCCCCCAAAAAAGACAACAAAAAGGTCTAAAACTGCTTCAGCCGCAAGCTTTCTTTCTTCCATTCATGGCGCGGAAGTTGAAGGAATATTTGTTGGCAGCGGTGGTGTTGGTGTTTCTTGGGTCGAGGCGTGAAGCTTTTGTTTCGGTGCCCTCTCTGAGAACCGGAAGAGGTGCCACGGCACCCACTGGGCGCACATCGCCCAGATCTGTCGCAGTCCGTGCACATTGGGGCCTAGGACCACTTGGGCCGGTCGAAAGTGCGGCAGCTTTCCGAATCTATTTCCTTCCATTTGTGGATCCATTGGAGATTGATGAGACCTTAATAGATCAGCTCTTTGGTGGTTGGTTTGGTCCTTTAACTCCGCTGCTGTTGGGTTTGTTGGTTTTCTGGGTCCAAAGCCAAATCAATGCCGTGCGTCGTGAACAAGAAGGCCGTGTCATTGGCTCTGCTGCAAAAGCCGTCGGCGATGCCGCTGCAAAGACCGCGACTGGTGCAGCTCAAAGCTTGACTGAGCGACTGGGGAAAGTTCCAGCCGAACAATGGTTCAAGCTCCTCCTTTGTTTGGCTTTGGATCTTGCAGGCGCTGATAAGATGGTTATGAGATGTTATGAGTCATGTATGAGTTATGTGTCAATTGCGCAAAGCAGAGCTGAAGGTTTTAAAGTTTACCGGTGTTCCTGAAAAATGTCCTCCTTCACTTTGGAACACTGGATGCCGGCACGACCTAGGTGATGCCACATTTTTACTTCCAGGTGCTGGCGAACTGGGAGATTTGGCCTTTGCTCCCTTTGAAGCATTAGCTTTGCGGTCATTGTTTGGTGGAGGCCTTTTGTCAATTCTGGGCTTTGCTGAGGAGGCTTTACCTTTCACAGATGCATTACCCACAGCGACCACTGGTTGGGTCCTTCAAACACTCTTCAGCGACTCTCCCCTGGCGCAACTTCTGGGCATTCAGCCACTTGAGATGGACACGCCGAACACGAAGAAACCCGAGAGAGACCAGAAATGACATTCATAGCCTCAATCACGCGGCAAGATGGCAGACATTTACCGAATCTGTTCCCAACCGTCAATCCAAGCACCGCATGGGAAAAAGGAGCTCTGTCAGAATGCTACGAGTATGAGTTGCCGTGTTCAAACCGCTTTGTCGAATGACACAAGAAAACTCATAAGAATGATCAAACTCTGTAATCGCGATTCTGATGTTCAACAAATTTGTTTTGTGGTCCCTTTCTTCGTGCCCTGCTTGTACACTTTTTGTGCCAGTTGGCATTGTGCTCAAAAAGCGTGCCGTCGACACCAACCGAACCGGCAGTGCAAACCTCGAGAAGAATGGGTCGGTCCACTGGATGTTCCGGCTTCAATGTTCTTCCAAGGACACGTGTGGCTCCTAGTAGCTTCTTGTTCCTAGTATGGCCAGGAGCCCCAAGTTCTCGT